ATGAGCGAGAAATCGTGAGAGTTGTCGTCTTTACCTCCACAGCCGAATAATCTGACAGGACTCAGAAATTATATTTCAAATCATAAAGATGTATTAACGTTACTGTGGTGTGAAGCAGGAGGACATGGCCGAGAGACATGGAATGCTAATGAGAGACACCTGCACAACACACCGGCCTCGAGTCCCATGGAATGATGACAGTGAAGGGCAAGAGAAGACCAGGCCTGGAGCATTTTACGTTGCTGTTTTTATAATGCTTATATGCCGTAGTTGGTCTCTGCCGCTTTTTTTTTTTTTTTTTTTACAGTCAGTGGACTCGTCTAATTTTACTCTGAAAATAAAGACTGTAGGACTGATTATCCCTTGGTTAACTGATAGTTAGCAATCTAGTTTTTAAGACAGTCTTAACATAATGGCTATTTTAATGCAACTGGACCCATAAAAATTGGAAGCTTTTAATAAATTTTAGTTATACATATAGAAAAATAATAAAATAAAAATTGGAATGTGGAAAACATATCAAAAACGTTCTCTCATCCAGATCAGAGACCCATGGCTCAGGCGCTCAGGGCTGGAAAAAGAATGAGATTTGATGTTACATAATATCAAGCTGAAGCATATTTATTTGGACATTTTCTATAAATAACTGTATAACTCAAGCCATTCCTTTGATATGGTCAGTTGTACTAGGTTCTTTCTGACCACCTATTCATGTGACAGAACATAGCATGCGTTGGCGAGTCTGCCCTTGTTCTCTTGGCACGATGTGAACACGTACTTGTCATAGCGGACTAGGAACGCACACAATTAAACACGTCAGCATGGGGTACCTGCCCTGGGCCGGCAGGGACACAGCACTCGCTGTCACCAAAAGCAGCGCCTCAGATACACAAGGCGGCTGTGAATGAATGTGTGCGACTGCGTTTGTGTGTTTGTGTGATTGTGTGTGTGTGTGAGAGAGAGAGAGGGGGGCAGATGATTAAGAAGTTAGTCTGAGCAGCATACAAAACAAAGCGCGACTGTGACCTCAATTTACACCATGCCGCTGTAGTGACACTAGATGACGATATTCAGAGAGAGTGAAGAGAAAGCCTTGCTGTATGGCTCGAATACGCCATTCTTAACAGCCTGACTGGGTCGCAGGAAAATGTGTGTGCATGAGTGCCAACTACCTACTTCCTATTTCTCTAGGTAATACATTTATTTGCAAAACGATATCATTATGATAAAATAAGTGCCACATATAGGCCACAAAACTGCAGTTTGTCTGACAAACTCACTGACAGCATAGACGTCTGCTTGGCAACCATTTGTACTGTTATTCTTGTTTGTGACGGAGGCAGAGACAGAATTACCTCGGTTATGTGCAAAAAGTCAATTAAATTAACTGTGAAAGGCTATTTATTTTAACCCGAGGATACATTTTTTGTTCTTAGTAATTATAGAAAAACAGCACAACATGTGTTGGCAAGAGAACAAAGAAGAAGCTCTAGGACTAGTCCTGGCATCATACTGCCATCCTGTGGTCAAAGAGAGATGTTTCACAGCAAATGGACAATGCAAACACCTTTGCAGCACTGTGTACCAGTATCTGCAGTTATAGTACTGTTCAAAAGTTTGGGTTCATTAATAACAATTAATACTTAAATTCAACATTGAATTGATGAAAAGTTACAGAGTAAATACACTTATAATGTTACATAAGTTATTGTTCTTTGAACATCCTCTTTATCAAAGAATCCAGAAAAAATGCATTGTTTCCACAAACATAATGAAAGTTGCTAAAAACTAACCTTTTCCATCAAATTAATAAATAACATTTTACAAAATATAAAAAAAATAGAAAACTGTTATTTTAAATATTTTGCAATATTACTATTTTAACTGTATTTTGAACAGTAGTGTACTTCATATATAGAAGTGTGAGAGATTGACTACTGTAGTGTAATACGCAGCACTTGTTAACTCACACACACTTGCAAATGCTATAGAGACAGACACAGTCGCCTTTGCCATCAACACAGGTTGCACAACTACACTGCTCTGATGGATGTTAACAAATAAAGCAAATGATCTACAAGATTAATATGCATTTTAGGTGATACCACAATATCAACTGGTGTAGACTTTAGTCATGTACCTGCTGGCAGAGGATGTAGGTGATAATGTTGAGCTGGTTATGAATGTACTGTAGATCATAAGGTCCCACCGGTCCAGCTAGGGAGAAGATATCACTACCCAGCAAACACAGAACGTTCTCCTAACGTTCCTGAATGGTCCCATGAGGACCCATTATTTTTTTGGGAAAAAAAACTAACGTTCCCAGAACATTCCCAGAACCTAAATTTGTTTGCTGGGTAGACTCCCATCAGGCTATTCTCTCAAATACACACCTGCATACCATACAAATAAGTTTGAGTGTTATTTGTTATATCAATTATATTATATCTGAAGTAGGAACTTATTAGGCCTACATCAAAGTGAGGATTATGGAAGGTGTTATGTCCTTAGGTCTTGAGATTCTAGAGAGTTTCATTGTTATTTGCACAATTCTGCTTTTCTGTAATATCACCCTGGCCCAAAATGCTATTGTTTTGTCTTAGCTTGGATCACTGGAGTCATATACAGCTGCATACTGTCAAACATACACAAAATAAGTCTTGAGAAATAAACCTCTCATTTTCTCTGAGCATTTCTGAACACCAAACCTGCAGAAATATCACATCTGAAATGCTGAGTGATATGGAAATGAGGTTTACGGCACTCTAAGCATGTTAATAATGCTAATCCTGGGATTACGGGCACATTTTCAAGGTGCAATTACATCACCAAGCATCTTGGGATCACCATAATCACAGATTGTGCATGACGCTTCAGTATAATCCTGCCTCATCCTTATTAACTAGTTGGTGCCATCCAGACTCCTGTTGAATAACAGTTTTACAAGACTTTAGTTATTTCCTGATTCCAACTGAACTCAGATCATAATCTCATATATATATATATATATATATATATATATATATATATATATATATATGGTCATTCTCAAAAAATAACATCTTGTGATAAAGTTAATTGTTTTGGTGGCCGGACCCTGAGGAAGATTGTGGAGAAGGACCGATTCCAGACCTTGGGGGAAGGAGTGGACTGAGTATTTCCCAGGTCAAGCCACTTTTGAAACAGAAACAGCGGCAGAAGTGCCTGACCTGGGTTAAAATAAAATAAAATAAAATAAAATAAAATAAAATAAAATAAAATAAAATAAAATAAAATAAAATAAAATAAAATAAAATAAAAAGAAGGCAACGTAGACAATTTAATTTTATTTATTTGGAACCTTTGTAGTTATATTGTTAATATAATAATCCCATTGTATCATTTCCAACTAAGAGTAAAACTTTACACTGTGAGTAGTTTCCCTTTTATATGTTCTAATTAAATTTGAATCATCTTTCTTTACACATTTACAATAGAAAAAATAATTAAAATATTTTTCATGCCATTATAACATAAATCGCATGAGTAATCTGTGCGTTTTAAAAAGCTCCAGTATGTTTTGTTTTATATGTTTGTACATGTTATTCTGTTTAATATTCTTTCTTTATTTTCAGCTTTTCAGAAGAATATTAGAATGATTTAATTTTTTTAAACATTTATAAAAACTCACTATCATTTTTGAGAGAAAACAAAATGAAAGGAGGGTGTCTTTTATTTTGACTGCGGACGTCACGGTGACGACGTACGGATGTCTTGTTTCGTGTGCTGCAGCGCGGGAGTTTCATTTTCCTGCCTCGTTTTGTTTACACAGCAAATTTTATCCCGTCAAAAATGTATTTTTTTCGTTTCGACGTAAATTATATGCTATTTCTCTAATTTACACTACTCCTGAGGTAAACCAAGTAACGTGCGGGTCCTGTTTGTATGCTAATAGCAACAAGTATAACAAAGTATGCTAGCAGACAGTTCTGTGGTGTGGTAACGTTAACGTTAAAACACTCGTTTATTCTTTTGTAGTCGATTGAATCATGTCTTATATTAGATATATTATTAGTTAGGTCAAGTGTTGGTTCAAATATTAACGTAACTCGTCTAACGTTAATTAAAATAGATGATGTCAGGCTAATTTGGTTTAAATTTAACGTTAGTGTTTAACAGTTAACCACAACACACTTTGAAAGGTGGAGCTGAGTTGTCAAAGTGTCAGATGAAGAGAGTTTTCCAGTCTCATAAAGCTCTAATGTTTGTGTCCTCAGACACCAATTTCCAGCTGGACACAGAATGGCTGCGACTCCAGTAGACTACACCATAGGAGGGGTGAAAATAAACTTCCCCTGCAAAGCTTATCCCTCTCAGCTGGCCATGATGAATTCAGTAAGATCTGTTGTCTTGAGCCTAGTGACGGACTTGTTGATGTGTTTTACAGTAAATTAGCTCTGTCATGACACATGACATGAGTAACATCTTAATACAAAGCATTTAAAATAGCCTATTTACTTTTGATTGATTTGTCTGTAATTTTCATGTTTAGAACAACGTGTTTTTTTTTTTCTTCTTAATCTCTCTTAGATCATTCGTGGACTTAACCAAGGAAAGCACTGTCTATTGGAGAGTCCTACTGGCAGTGGGAAGAGTCTTGCTTTGCTTTGTTCAGCCCTTGCATGGCAGCAAGCACAGTTTGGTATGTTTTGAAATCTTTTCAATGAGTTGTAATATTTTTAACTTTTCTGTTAATTGTTCTGGCATCTACGCTTACTTAAGTATAGAGAGCAACAGATAAAAGATCATTTAATCAGACTGTACTACTTTGCTGTTTGGTGATTGCACAACATCAAACCACAATTAAATTATGAAACTGATGTGTCAGAGGTGAATATGCAGGTTATAAAGCGTTTTAGTTTCATCGTGTAGCCAAAGTACATGTTATCACATTGAGAAAACCAATGAAAAAGATTACTGTACTATACACCAAATATTATGCTGAAAATAATGATGTATGGACCATTTATGTTAAATATGGTGTGTAAAATGTACAGATAGGGTTGATAGTTTGAGTCTGAAAAGTATGGAATTTTGAAATTAAAAATGTGTAGGAACCTGTATGTATGATCTATGTGATACTAAACTCTTGTTAACTCTTTTTGTCTCTATAAAACAATGCATTTACACAGTGTTTTGTTAATTTTCTCATATATTAAGATAAGGTACAGCCGAATGCAGCATCCAGTTCGGCCGACTGTAAGAAACCAGAAGTGGTTACTCCATGTCAATGTGTGTGCCACAGCCAAAAAGCACACACAACCTTCAACAGAACAGCATCTAAACCAAATCTGGTGGATCTTGCTGGTGAAGGTACTGCTGCTGAAGCTACAACCCCTCTGTCAAAAGGAGGTGAGCATTTTCTGAAACATTTTTATGGTACCTTAAGTCAAATGAATTTCTTAACCTTGTGATGGATTCAATGATCAATTTGTGCATTCAAATCACCAATAACTCAGTTGTGAGTATAAGTCTTTTGACCAATACATTAAAATAACTGGCTCAAAGGAGTCATTTGTTTCGTGAATCAGTTCAGATGGTGGTTGAGGTGTATGTGCAACAAGTAAAAACAGTGCAATAAAATTACCTCTTGTAACATTTAGATGAGTCTACAAACTCATACTGTAGATGAAATGTAAATTCTTAAAGTCTGTTTTTTTTTGTTTTGTGGTGCTCCTACAACATTACTTTAAGCACACTTTACATAATCTGGTACTGCAGCAAAAACGACTTGCCTAACTAAGAAAGTTCAAACATTATTAAAGGCAAATGAACAGTCTGTGAAAAATAAATAAATACACTATTTACAGTCAAGTACAGATAAATGCACTATAACAAAGGTCTAACTGTAGTATTAATTGCAGATACAGAAATGAAATAATTTAATAAAAAATAACACTATGTACATTTAATATAGCTGTGTTTTGTTGTTTGATTAACATTAATGACTTAGACATTTATAGGCTGTTATGTGCATATCCAATGATATGATAAACACCCGATTTCTTTCTCAACCGTTTACGTTCTTAAAAAGCAGGGTGGCTGATATACTGTATACACTTTATACTTGTATACTTTATATTTATTTGAATTAATATTTAATAAATTACTTAGAATTAAGTAATTTAGTATAGCTGATAATGCTGAATCAGCATTTTAAATGTAGATTCAGCAAACACTCTGATACATTACTTAAGTGTAATCCCTTTTCTCATAAAGTATGTATCTTTGTTTCAGCAGTCAAAAGTGACCAGCCTAAAAAGTCGACTTTGTCTTCCCGCCTCTCTGAGAAACTTCAAGCCTCTCTCTCCAATGGAGAACAAGATGATGATTTTAAGATGGACAGGAAGCGCATTCGTACACCAGGCACAGAGCAAAAAGTATCGCTACCAATAGCTTCTATTCCTATGACATTTATTGATTGGCTTGTTGATTCTTGTCATCACACTCAGGTTTTTTTTGTCTTTCCACAGAACAGCAAGCGAAGATGTCTCGAACGAGGAGTGATTTACATTGATGATGATGAAGAGGAGGATGATCTGGGCAGACCCGTGCCTGGGACTCAGAGTTGGACCATGGAATTGAACAGTGGTGCCAAAGCTGCCAGCTGCCAGTCGCAGCCACAGTGTTGTGTAAGTGCACCTCAGACTCATTTTCTACTCGTATCTCTAATTTGGAGAATATGATGTAATAGTGTCAAAAATAGCTATGAATAGCTCTGTTTGATATTTCTCTACATTTCATCATCCAGTATCCATTAAAGGGATAGTTTACCGGAAAAAAAATACTAAAAGACGATATTTTTAAGAATGTTGTTGCCCTAAAAGTTTCTCAGTACAAGTAACTTGTACAAGAAACTCATATAGGTTTGGAACAACATGAATGACTGTAAATGATGACAGGAATTATCATTTTTGGGTGAACTATGGCTTTAAGGCTGTTTTACTAAGGATGCCACTGGAATAGTATTTATTATTAAACAAACAATATTATAATTATATGTTTAATTGTAATTTGTAATTATTAAATAAATTAGATTATCAAAATAATATTATGTATTACGTTGTATTATACAGTGACCACCAGGTGGCAGCAGAGGATGGGTCAAAACTTTAGTGAATTCATTGCACAGCTGTTTTCACACAGCTGTGTCCATCTCGGATTAAATTTTGTAATTTGACTAGTGCTGTGTCACAAAAAGCCGCATGACTCCTATTTAATGTACACACACATAGTCGCTTAGGCTACATACTATATGTAGGATGGTACTAAAACAATGCTCACTACAGTGTGAGTGCAAAAGTGTTTTTGTTGATGTTTGGGGATACTAGATCACAAAATTTATGGTGTGTTGTCCTATCTTTCGAATTGGAAGAAATCTGAAAATTTGCCTGACATTTTATCTGTTATTTGATAACCTTAATCTGACAGTTTGTACTTCATCATTTCCATTAAGCAGAAATCCTCCTAATGTGGTGTTACTATTCATTTGGCTTTTTGAGAGGGGCTCACATGTAGGGCTATAAAATGCAGCTCAGCATCTCCATGTACTGCATGAGGAAAATCTGATACAGTGTAACAAACACCACAGGTATTCACATAGCCAGTGGTGAAAGGAATCTGTGTCAGTGTGAACGCCCCGTCACACTGTAGGACATATTGCTTACAACAGGCACGATGGAAAAGGGAGTGACTTGTCTAATGTGTTCCTCAAGATTGGTGGACGGTCAACGAAAGAGGACGGCCTGGGCTTGATGGGCGGGCCTATGGGTGTTTTGGGGTGGGGGAAGAAGAGAAAGGAGGCCTTAGGTTTCACTCTCACCTGACACCGTTCTCGGCCCCTGCCAGCGCTGACTGACATCTTCAATGGGCCCTTTGAAGCGAGCTCCAGTTTAATTAAGAGGTTTGCCTTGCTTGGCAGTGATCTGTGAAAGCCTGGGATAAATATTGAATGGGGTTCACCCGCTGGTTACGGTGCTCCGGGGATAAACAGGTGCTTTGTAAGATTGGGGATTTGCGGGGTGGGGGCACTCCGGGGCAGCTATCAGGAGGGCTATATGGAGTAAAGACCTCACTGAAATGCTTCACTCGCTGTCTCTGTCTCTCACCCTCTATCTCCTTTTCTCTCTGTCCATCTGTATGGTAAGGGTGCAGTGGCCCAGGCAGGCGGACAGTGTGAGATTTCAGTCTCTCAGGTGTCAGGCTCTCAGAGCCAGCCTGTTGAAATGCAGTCTCCATTGTTCGTGCTCACACTTGGGCCTGCATCTTCCACCACAGGGCCATTGTAGAGCACAGACAATCTAGCCTCACCATCTCAAACACAGGAGCTGCTCTCTCCACACCTCACCTGGCAAACAGAAATGGCACTGTCTAACAGAACAAACCCATCCCTTATAATGTTTTTTTTTTAAGCAGTAACTGATAAGTACTCTGTAGGATCCTCAGCCTCTTCAAACAAGAATTTAATGATTCCTGTTCTGATGTTGATTCGTCTTAATGATTCAGGTTGTTTAACAGTTCCATTAAGGATTCTTTTAAATTTGAGTTGAATTCATTAATTAAACTTCTACATCTGTTTGCCATTTACTCAAACAACTGTCCATAAGAGTCATTAGCACAAGAATCAGACTTCAGTTTTAGTTGCTCTGAATGTTTCTTAATCTATGAAAGTCGTTTACCTGGGAATGTTTTGACTTTGATTCTCTCTATGTGTTTTATGAGTCTGTTTTTTAAGTAAATCAGTCATCAGCTATGTATGTTTTTTTTTTTTATTATTCTTAAAAGAGAACAGTTCATAAAAGGCATTAATAACTTGGGAATCTTTTGCTTCTGTTTTTGATTCACTAGCTCATTTAAAGAGTCGTGTACTACTTGCGAATCAGGCTTCATTAGTAGTGCTGTATGTTTTTGTTTCTTAAAAAAAGATGGATTCATAAAACTTTTGACTTCATCGGTCATTCTGTGGTCGTGCTGTGTATTTGACACGGAGTAGTAACACATTGAACACTTTCCAAATCACTTTCATTTTAGTGTGGTGTTCTATCCACATCAGTGGAAGAATCCTCATGCTGGAACAATTAACAGTACCAACTGTCATGGTTCTGTTTTTTTTTTTTTTTTTAAATAATAATAAAAAATCCTTCTAAAAAAGTTCTTTCTCTACTCTTCATGTATCCATTACCCCTAAAACACATCACATAGTGACTTGCAGCTTATTTTTTGTATTTGTAGTATGTGTGCTGGCCCTGAACCTTAACTAGCTGTTAGGTCCCACTGGAGCTGTGAAATGCTTTCATTGTACACCAGTGCTGCAACAAATCCCCGAAGACGCTTTCCCAATATCCTTGCTCATTTTTTGGTTCCAGAACAATGGCCACATTTTATTAGCAGAGCAATGAGCTGCTAGATGCATCTGCAGGTGTCTGCCCCTGACTGGAACAGCATGCTTGGGTTAACGCTCCCACACAATGCCACACACTGTTTTATTAGGAGCCGCTGTTGAGGTCTGGAGCGGCCTGAGGTGTAGCTCTCTGCTCCGCTGATATCAGGGCCTCGCCGGAAAGAATGCGCCAGTCCGCCTGAATGTGTCTATGGCGGCAGGTCTGGCCAATGGAGGCTGTTATCTGCATTCCAGGGGTGTCTTATTTGCTGTGCTTTAGCGAGAGGGGCCGAAACTGTGGCAGGCTGCATGTAACGGATACCCTTGTGTCAGCTGTTTCCTGCACGGCTACTGACAAGGCTTCCCATTCACAATCGGCTCTTTCTTTCCCCCTGCGATGAATAAGTAATTATTCAGTATAGGAGGTAGGATACTTGGACTGGCCTATTGAATGTGGCAGCAGCAGGTAAGGTGATCGGCAGGGCCGTAACTCTCCCTGCGAAGCCGTAACCTTAGCTGCTGCCAGCTCTCTGTTTATTTAGCACGTCGGACCTGGTCTTTGTCCCACCGGGGGACGGTTTGCAAGACAGGCTCACGTTCGCTTCCATTCTATCACTTACTGTAATATTTAATGACAAACAAGGTTTGAGAAGCAACTCAGGTAACTGGAGCTGGACCTCTTCAGTGGAGTGCAGGCTAAAGGACAGCTTGATCCCTGATGTGAAGGTGTAACACACGCCGTGACTTAGCAGATGCTTATGAGGGATAATCTTACTTTCACTTTTAGGAAAAGAAAAGAAGCTACTGTTATTTCGAAGGACCGAAGGAAGACTGAAAATGGAGATTTTATTTAGCAAAATCGTATAATATTTAGCAAATTATGCATGCTCATTTAGATGCCAGCAAAGGCATTTAAAAAGCAAAGTTAAAAAAAACCAAATAATTTAATTACAAATGTAATTGATCTTTAGAAAATTTCCAAATGAATATTCATTTTCACTATTACCATTTAAAGTGATTTTTATTTTAGCATTATTTATTTATACAAATACACCTGCAATATCAACCAATTATCAGTCATGCCTGGGCAAAATCATGTTGTTGAAAGGGGGGGAAAAAAGTAGTGTAGATTAAAACACTTGACAAGCTTTTCTTGTTTTATGCATACAGTATTTCGGTGCTAGGATAATAACACTGTCTCCCACAGAATGAAGCAATGACTCTTTTAGACACCAACTGTGTTACACATGAGTTGTGTCATTCCCATGAATGGAGGGGAAAGTGGGACACTTAAAATGGTCATACCATCCTCAAGATCGGTTTCACCACTAGAGCTGGCTGCAGGCAAGCATGGCCTTTTGTGTGAAAGCTGCAATTAAAGCGATCCAATCGGCGGCCCAGTAGCATGAACAATGGCACGGTCTAAAATTACAGTCTTGCTTGGGGTCATTCTGTCTTGACTTATAGCTTTTGCCTGTTATTTGAATGATTATCTATACGACTGCTGATACAAAAGCCTTTTCATGAGCTGGACAAGCAAGGACTGTAGAATTGCTTCAAGTAGGTTGTTTCTCCTTGTAATATTTACGCTTGACTTGTTTCTCTCTCTCTCTCTTTGTGTCTGACAGTCTCCCGTGTCTTGTTCTCTCTGTCCTTGCGCCAACCGCAAAGCAGGACAGAAACTGCTTGAAAAGTCCAAGGACAATGAGAAAGACAAAGAGGGAAGCGAGAGGAAAAAAATCCCAAAGATCTTCTTCGGCACTCGTACTCATAAGCAGATCACACAGATCGCAAGGGAGCTGAAACGGACGCTTTACTCCACGGTGCCCATGACAATACTGTCCAGCCGAGACCACACCTGTGTCCACCCCGAAGTGGTACCTCATGCCAACCGCAACGAGCGCTGCAGGGAGCTGCTGGAGGCCCAGAACGTGAGTCACCCCTTCCCACCTTACACCGTGACATCACAACCACCTTTGAGCACTGGTTCTTCATTCATTTGTCATCATTAGTGCCTCTGAGAGGGATAAAAGAGTAGATTTAGAGTTTAAGGCCTTTTATGAGACTGAACTCTGAACTCGATATTGGTGTTGCGAGAGAAACCTAAAGATCAACAATGAAACTTTTTCTTTGTAGTGATGCACCGAAATGAAAATGATTTGCTGAAACAAAAAATATTGGAATCTTCTAATGATAATTAAAAATGCTAATTTTTATTACTATTTTTCATATTTAGCAAAAATCTATAAATATTAGAGTATTTTTAAAATAAAATTTAAGTAAATATTTTTTATAACTAAAATATTCTTGTATTGTTTTAAAATTGATATTTCTAATTGGTAAAAAAAAAAGTTCTGCTGCCATTTCTACTTAAAGATCTTGTTTCTGACAACTTACAGTGTATAGATGTAAAAACAGCACAAATGTTGTTCAATGCAATGATGACTTCAACCATACTTAGTGTAAAGTAGTACAGATGCAAAAAGTCACATTATGATGTGATCAACCATTGCGAAATCTGCGTGGATTTAAATTTGAAATGACTGGATTTCACCTGCAAAAATTCACAGAACAAAAGGAAATGTGGCCGCACCTTAACAGATTCAGTCTGCGTTTTCGACATTTGACTGAAGAACGATTTTTTTCGGTGGTCGAAATTGTGGTGCATCCTTATTAGAATAGTGTCAGTTTAGATGTATTATTATGATAACAGTGTGTTTTCCCCCTCTGTGTTTGTGTAGCAAAATATCACGCCTTTATCTACAGAAAGTATACAGGTCATGGCCCTGCTTCATCATTGAGTGTTGGGCAAGTAGTGATCAGCTCATCATTAATTTGTTTGCCTTTGAAAGTCTTAAATTGGATCTTGTGAACGGAGATTGACCTACTCTTTACTGTGGAACCAAACACCTCATTTCCTGATCTTCACAGTGGCCTGCAGGCCAAACAGCAAGTGTGGCCACTTATTCTGTGAACCCACTTCTCCTTTCACTGTAATACTGTCGTAAGAAAAGAAGACGAGCTACCCACACTGAAATGCAAACCCTTGCTTTAAGGTTTCACAAACTTAATCTCCGTCACCAAAGTTGTGGAAAACAGTTACAGGCGATAATATCCCCAATCAGTCATACAGACCTTTTTTGTTGTGCAGCCTTGTCAAAGGCTTCAAACACACTTTGTTCCAGTGGGAGATTCGGTATTGTCCGTGTTACTTAGTCTCTGACCATCGGGCAGCCCACATAATGATACCTATTATGCTGTCACCACAGGTGTCCACTCACCTCTCGACTGTGTCGCGCCCCTGCACATGAAAGCGGGGAAGACCGTGCCGACAACCCTGCTCAGAGAGAGGAGGGAATGAGCTGTCATTTTCCTCATCCTCCCTGAGGCCCCATCTCTTGTGTCCTCTTATGAGCCCCACTCCGAGTCTTTATTCTGCTCTCCTGGCCCTACTGAATGGCTGAAGTGCGTAGGCCTTTCAGACACTTGTCGTTAGTTCGCACACCCCTCAGTGATGCCATCATCACCTTCATAAGAGTCAGAGGACAGGGGAATCAAAACGGCACGATCAGGTTGACGTTTATCCCATGCTCTCATTGACGACTAATCCCTCTATCAGCCTTTCAGCAGCATGTTACAGTTTCCAGTGAATTGCGAAACAATGCACAGATGCTTCCCTTTTCTGCATTGCGGCAGCTGCCTAAATAATCATATAACAGCACATTAAAGGCATAGTTCATCCAAAAATGAAACTCTGTCAGTAATTACTTACCTTCATGTTGTTTCAACCCTGTAAGACTTTCGTTCATCTTCAGGACACAAATTAAGGTATTTTTCATTAAATATGAGAGCTGGATCACTCCTCCATAGGCTTCTGAGGGATTGATAGTCCAAGTGACAGTGGCTCAGTCTTAAGTTTATCACGCAAGGAGAATACATTTTGTGTAAACAAAACAAACAAACAAACAAAAATAACAACTTTATTCAACTATTCATTTCCTGTGTCTGCTTCTGACGTGAGTTTACGTACAGCACAGCACTTCTGTGTTGTACATCACACGTAGGCTCACTTTTGGCCGACGCTGCTCATGTTTGTGATTCTTGTGATGTAAAACACAGAAGCGCTGTGCTGTTACACTATGTGAATTTAGAATTCAGAATTTTCATTTTTGGGACCATCCCTTTAACAGTCTGTTGTATCAGTTCATGCATTCCCTCGGATTCAAACCCACAACATTTTATGCTTTACCACTTATGCAGTCTTTTTAAAATGCATCTCAAGCACACCTCTTTTCATAAAGCGATGTTATCTGTATCCGTTTGTGTATTTCCATGTCATTTCAGGGTCTGTCATGCCGGTACTACCACAATGTGCATAAAATGCGTGATCAGAGCTCTTTACAGTGGGTTCATGGGCTAAACCAGGCCTGGGACATTGAGGATCTGGTGCGTCTTGGTGGCAAGCTGCGGTCCTGTGCTTACTACGCAGCTCGGGATCTCATGCAAGAGGCCTGCATTGTGTTCTGTCCTTACAACTACCTGCTGGACCCCCTTATTCGTGAGAGCGTGAGCATCAATCCATAAACTACCATATAATCTAAGTTTCAATATACACAAAATGTAATTAACTATATTTTTATTTATATAGATGCAATTATGTTGCTTTATAGAATATTTACATTTCTACATTTTACTTTTTTTGAGTGTTTTGTCACACTTATCCTTTTAATAATATATTTTAGTGAAAGTGACTAAAAACCAGGGTTGTCAAGCGAATACAATTTCTTAATCTAATTAATTACATGATGTGCCAATTAATTCATCTACTTAATCGCAAATGAATCTCATATCAAATTTGGCTCAGAAATTAGCTCCAAAATGTAATTTAAAGTTATTAAAGTCATTATTGTGTTAAATGAGGGGAAAAAAATTAAATTGACTTTATGAAAAGTAGCTTTTGTAATAAATATTTGATTTGATTTAACATATTTTATCATACACAAACTTTTACAGTACAAGGGTGATGAAATCAGACAATATTGTGTTTAAAATATACCGCAATATTAACTTATTTATTGAACAGTTGTATACATCACATTTACACTCGTGCTATTTGGAACAAAAACAGCACTCGTGTGATATTGTAGTCAATGCTCGTGTGAATTATCATTTGATTTAAATATGAGACGACAACTGCATTTTGCCCCAATATCTCGAATTTTAGGGGCAGTCTCACTGAATTCTATAGGCTATATCAGGCAGTGAGATGTTGCCCTGCTTCATGTTGTCACCAATCAACTGTTTGAAATGTAAGATGATGTACGTATAGGTCTGGGGCAGGTTTGGTGTGTTAATTGTTAATTGAGTTAAGTGTAACCTGAACTGTGCATGGTTCCTGACAAATAAACAAACAAATATATATATATATATATTGCATTAAACTATTTTAATCCTGTTATTTTTCCATAGCTAATTAATTAAATGAATGCGATAACTCGACAGCACTACTAAAAAGTTACATTTTAAAAATCTGTCTACCCCTAGGTTAAAGAAGTCAGTGAAAGTCTTCAAATAAGATTGATAACATGTGTTTGGATTCAAGGATTTTTATATGTATCCATCTTTGCCCCTCTTTCCAGATGGAAATCAATCTGAAGGAGCAGATTGTGGTGCTGGACGAGGCTCATAACATAGAGGATTGTGCCCGTGAGAGTGCCAGTTTCACCCTGAATCAAGCTCAGCTGTTGCTGGCACGTGATGAGATCGACGGAATGGTGACGCTTAACATACGGCGTGATCAACACAAGCCACTGCTTGCATTCTGCTGCAGCCTTGCCAAGTATTTCCCCTCTTTTCTACAATAGTTTCACATCATACGTGGTGGGACATCCATATTTGACTTCATCACAAGTTGTAGTCTGTAGTCTAAGTTAAATAGTCCATTAAAAAAAATGAATTATATATTTATATCCATGCTTTTATGTAGCTGGGTGCAGGAAAGCTGCGATGGCTTGGAGGAGCGTGAATTTGAGTCTTCATGTAAGGTCTGGTCAGGCACGGAGGTTCTTGGCATCTTCCATGGCCTTGGCATCACAGCAGACATCTTCTCTTTGCTACAGGTATTCTTCCCCTGTGTACCTTCCTCCCCTTTTACCAGGAGTATACTAACAGTCTCCCCTCCTTTTTTATCTGATTTGTGTAGAAAAACCTGGCAGCGGTGCTAGAGAAGGAGGAGCGAATAGGGATAGTGAACGGGAGAGAAGACACGGTGCAGGTTCCCACCATCAGCTCCAATACTCAGTCAATGCTCAAAAGCCTCTTTATGGTGCTGGAATTTCTTTTCAGGCAAAATTGCAGGTCATTATCACAAACTACCCATCATTCTTCTTACCTTATCTCTAAAAAGGGTTTTGGCAGTCATTTTTAAAGACCCCTTGAAATGGCAATTGGAGTTTTATGACTTTTAGCCCATGTCTTTTTTCTTTATGGGTATCTGTATGCTAGTCTACACTTAAAAGTTGGCAAGATTTAAAAGAGAACCCCGACGCAAAATGAACCTATGGTCTAATAACACATTGGTACCTAGTCGACCATTCTCTGAGATTTGTTTTCATGATAATTGAATGTAAAGAGTTTTATCTCTGAAACTGTTTAGCATATAACGCTAGTATATGGGGGCATATATTAAGTTAAAAGAAATCACTAGTTAATACAACCAACATGGTTCAAAATAGCCCCACACTAAGACAGTAACATAATGAGGGTCCCTGCCTGCAAAACGAAGTATTGAGAAATTTGTAAGTGTACAGACCATTTAATAAGAAGATATTTTATGAAGACAGACCACTTCGTGTATACAGGCGGCACCATCTTTGGAAAAAAGTCTCGACAAGTCGAACCACGAACGCCATTCATACAGTTCAAAAGTTCGACTAAACGAGATTGTTTTCAAAGATGGCTCCTGTCTGTATACACGGAGTGTACTGTCTTTATAAAGTATTTTCTTATTAAACGGTACCAATGTTTTATTAGACCAAAGGTTCAGTTTGCATCAGAGTTCTCCTTTAAGTGTAAAAGAGAACTTTAAGTGTAACATTTAGAGAGGAATCATACATTCAAAATAAGCTGCTATAAGTAAAATGATGAATTTTAGTTATAAATAATCAATGCTTGTTTCCCATTCACTTTTCTACATTTTCACTTAATTGCTCCAATTGTTACACTCCCTGGTGTCAATTTCACATTCATCTATTGTTGTTACTTAGTTTCTTTGTTTGTGGATATGTACAGGTTTGCAGATGATTACCGAGTGGCTCTCCAGCAGAGCTACATGTGGACAACCCAGCAGGACCTGCCCGATGCTCAGGGCTTTTTTGCACGACCCCAGCGTCGCCGACAGAGCACCCGCACCAAAACTCTGGTGCACACCCTGAGCTTTTGGTGCCTCAATCCTGCTGTGGTGAGAACAACTTTGCTTTTGCAGAAAGAAATCTAACTTAAATGTTGTTAGTATGAATATGATTTGTAAGCTGTTACTGTAGTGGTTGGTGGTGTGTGTCTTGGCAGGCATTTTCAGACCTGAGCGATTCAGTGCGGACTATCGTGCTAACTTCGGGCACCCTCTCTCCCATGGGCTCCTTTTCCTCTGAACTTGGCATCAAATTCTCTATCCAGCTGGAGGCCAATCACGTTATCAACAAGTCACAGGTCATTGTTACATTGATAGCATGCTACATACATGCTACATAGCATTTATCAGGATGTAGATCTACCAAAAATACAGTTATATTGTTAACATTTATTACAAATTACAAATATAAAAAAATTCTATTTTTCATATAATTTATAATACCTGCTAAGCTGATAGCAAAGCTCTCAATTTACTCTAGCCTTTAGTGTCGCATGATCCTTCAGAAAATATTCCAATATGTTGATTTGATGCTCAAGAATGATTATCTTAATATTTTTGTGTAAACCGCAATTTCAGTGTTCATTTTTAAACAAAGTTCAAAAACATTCATTTGAGAAAAAATTATTTTGTATATTTATAAATGTCTTTTTAATCAATTTAATGTGTCCTTGCTAAATAAATGTATTTATTTGATTAAAGAAAATCTAAATAACCCTAGACTTTTTAAAGTTGAATAATATGGTGTGTGTTTGTTGCAGGTCTGGGTCGGTACAGTTGGTGCAGGGCCTCAGGGTCGTAAACTTTGTGCCACATTTCAGCATGCAGAGACATTTGCCTTCCAAGATGAAGTAGGGGCCCTGCTTTTGAAAGTGTGCCACACAGTGAGTCGAGGGGTTCTCTGCTTCCTGCCATCCTACAAGGTGTGTAGAATCAATATTCTCTGTATGTAATGGCACTGGCTAACTCAAGCATCACTTTTGCTCATACATATGGTAAGGGATTTGAACAAACTTCTAACTCAAAGTGTTCAATTTAGTAGCACCCTATTGTGAATGATAAGCAAGTGATAAAATGGCCAATTAAATTTGACGGGGGACATCTGAGCCATATTTATAGATTATAGAGACTTCGAGGTGGGGTGGTGGAGCTTGGAGGTTAGGGTGGTGATGGCACAGTGGATAAGACACATGCCTTTGATGTGAGAGACCTGGGTTCGAATCCACTGTGAGACACCAATGTGTCCCTGAGCAAGACACTTAATCCCTAGTTGCTCCAGAGGCGTGCGACCTCTGACATATAGCAATTGTAAGTCGCTTTGGCTAAATGAATAAATGTTAAAGTAAATGTGAAATGGTCTCTCTTGATTTAGTAAACTACCAATGGCCTAGAAGCCAACCTAAACATTTTAGCAACTGCATAGAAATACACTGGCAACCTCCCACTTCAATCTAGTACTTTAGCAAGTAGCAACAGAAAATATAAAAATCCAGTTAACATTTTAATCTTATCCATATTTCTTTGCTTATAAAGAATCTAACATAATCTAAGATTCTGAAACATGAGTTATTTTTTTACTAAGTAATTTCAATTTAAAACTGTAGCACTATACAGCTGCCACTGGGAGGCCTTAGAGACCACAATTTTGCAAACAAGCTAATGTTTTCCTCAGAACTGCCATAAAAATATCATCTGCATGCTGTGTAAGACTGTGGTTGCTGTTTGACATTCTGGTAGAGGATCCTCAAAGTCATAACACTAGAAGCATCTGTTTCAAAATTCAATAGCAGCGGTCTGACAATGACCACATGCAATAATACGTGGCTGTGATGTATTATGGATAATGAACAAACCTTTGAGTGCTGGCTCACGGTTTTTCTGTATCCCTTTTCAGGTAACAGGCTCAATTATTGAAAACCATTGAAAAATACTTTGTTCCTCATTGTTTGTTACGTTTAGTTAATGAATAATTCAGCTCTATTCGAGCTGCCTGTCATGATGTACCCTCAGAGGGGATGATTAACATTCTCAAATGTCTGTGTGTGTGTGTCCATGTACATCTTTGTGTTGATGTACACTTAGTGCACATTTCCAATTTATTTCATCCAATATATTTAGCCTACCAAAATCATAGGATGCTACCCCAACTTTAACACACAAACCAGTTTCTTTATAAATTGACCTTATAAATTCCCTATTGTATATCATATCCATGTATCAGTATGAATGCTCCATGCGGATTAATATTTAATCTGGAAATTGAGCAGTTTAGGAACTCATTGGACATTGTGGAAATTCTGGAGCCTGAGAGTCCCGTCTGAGGAGGAGCAGACCAGAACATCTCTAGTCTCCAGAGACCTCTCTCAACTCCTGCTTGATCTCTAGCTCTCCATTCTGCTAGGGACCTTGTGTATGATGTGTGTCTGTTCTGCCCATTTATCCCCATGGCACCAAATGTGCTATACCACCCCCAAGCCCCCCAACATTGTCATTCATAACTCACACAAATAGACACGAAAGCCCTGTTCTGTTCTCAAGAGGTTCTCGTGCAGCTTCCAACCTGTCTCAGTTGGACCCCTGTTAACCACAGCGACCCTTGTTTTCTGGCATGACCTCATGACAAGAAGGGCTAAACAGTTTGTTTGGTGTGCTTATTAAATGTGGGCTAGGAAAGGTGAAAAGATCTTGTGGAAATGCAGGATGCTTTTAAAGCAGATTAAGATAAGAGCCATTAGAACTGACGTCGCCAAGCTGTCTGTGTGAAGAAGATGCATCTAAGCTGGCGCCTGGCGAGGTGGGGTAGAAAGGAGGGGTTGGTGGATGTATCTATATAACATGCATCCTCTCAAAGTCAAAGTGCTCTGCAGGGGTTCTGAGCACAGGCTATGATCCCCCAAGGCCTCTCAGCACACTGTCTGCAGTCTCTTAGGCATAGCTATGAATGCAGTCTCAACAGTATCAGTAGAGATATTATAGCACATGTGATCCAAGGTAATTACAGAAATACTTGCTTCATTTATTTGTTTGTTTATGTATTTATTAGTTCTTTTGCTCTATATTTTTTGTATTTTATGTATAATTTAATAATATTATTACTGTTGTAAAAACATGTAAATACAGTGGGGCCAAAAAGTATTTAGTCAGCCACTGATTGTGCAAGTTCTCCTATTTAGAATAATGAGAGAGGTCTGTAATTTTCATCATATGTACACTTCAACTATGAGAGAAAAATGAGGGAAAAAATCCAGGAAATGACTTTGTAGGATTTTAAAAGAATGTATTTGTATATTATAGTGGAAAAAAGTATTTGGTCACCCACAAACCAGCAAGATTTCTGGCTCTCGTTCTTCTGTCATCCACTCGTTACCTGTATTATTGGCATCTGTTTGAACCCATTATCTGTATAAAAGACACCTGTCCACAGCCTCAAACAGTCTCACTCCAAACTCAACCATGGCCAAGACCAAAGAGCTGTCGAAGGACACCAGGAAGAAAATTGTAGACCTGCACCAGGCTGGGAAAAGTGAATCTACAATAGGCAAGCAGCTTGGTGTAAAAAAACAACAACTGTGAGAGCAATTGTAAGAAAATGGAAGACATACAAGACCACTGATAATCTCCCTAAATCTGGGGCTTCCACGCAAGATCTCATCCCATGGGGTCAAAATGATTATGAGAACGGGGAGCAAAAATCCCAGAACACACAGGCTACCTTCAGTAACACACTACGCCGAGAGGGACTCAAATCCTGCAGTGCCGGACACATCCCCCTGCTTAAGCCAGTACATGTCCAGGCCTGTCTGAAGTTTGCCAGAGAGCATATGGATGATCCAGAAGAAGATTGGGAGAATATCATGTGGTCAGATGAAACCAAAATATAACTTTTTGGTAAAAACTCAACTCGTTGTGTTCGGAGGAAGAAGAATGCAGAGTTGCATCCCAAGAACACCATACCTACTGTGAAGCATGGGCGAGGAAACGTCATGCTTTGGGGCTGTTTTTCTGCAAAGGGGACAGGAAAACTGATCCATGTTAAGGGAAGAATGAACGGAGCCAATTATCATTCATGAGATTTTAAACCAAAACCTCCTTCCATCAGTGAGAGCCCTGAAGATGAAACATGGCTGGATCTTCCAGCATGACAATGATGCCAAACACACCGCCCGGGCAACGAAAGAGTGGCTCCGTAAAAAGCATTTCAAGATCCTGGAGTGGCCTAGCCTGTGTCCAGAGTCTGTGTTGCCCAGCGACAGCCCCGAAACATCACTGCTCTAGAGGAGATCTCCATGGAGGAATGGGCAAAAATACCAGATACAGTGTGTGCAAACCTGGTGAAGACTTGCAGGAAACATTTGACCTCTGTCATTGCCAACAAAGGTTATGTTACAAAGTATTGAGCTGAAATTTTGTTATTGACCAAATACTTATTTTCCACAATATTTTACAAATAAATTCTTTAAAAATCCTACAATGTGATTTCCTGGATTTTTTTTTTTTTTTTTTGTTTCTCATTTTGTCTCTCATAGTTAAAGTGTACCTACGATGAAAATTATAAACCTCTCTCATAAGTAGGAGAACTTGCACAATCAGTGGCTGACTAAATACTTTTTGGCCCCACTGTATATGATTTTACACACACAGGCATATAGTATATTTGTAATAAATATATATATATAGCTCTTGACTAGATAACAGCAGAACCGCACTTGAACAGATCTTATTTTTTTTATCTGTGGTATAAATTCTCACTGTTGGCCTCACACTAATGGTCTGCTCCACGTCAGTGCTGAGGAGTGCGGGTGCTTGCAGGCAGGTGGCAGGGGCGCCACTCCACTCTGTCCTTGGCGTGATCATCACTGTGATATTTGCAGCTGAATTATTTACAGCAGCTACACATCATCTGCTGCCGCCACCAGGGCACTATGTTTCATTTATGCCACCTTACAACTCAGTTTGTCCATTATTTAGAGGCCTTTTGCAAAGAAAAAAACAGCAATGTGTTGTCATAAGACAGAATGGCACCAAGGTTGGAGAAAAGTTGATAAGAGTAGTGTAGGTGGCAGAGGAAATAAAAGCGTGAGAGAGAATGCACACAGTTGTGCCTCGCAGTGCCACCTAGCCTCCATGTCCCCTGGGAGAACTGCATCCGGTCTACTTAATCTAGCATGGTGACACAAGCTGAGTGATGCATATATTTATTCGACTAACCACAATGAATTATTCATCTTTTGTTTTGCCTCGAGTGTTCGTTAGATAGTCTACACTCCTGTTTTATCAAAAGCTTCTCTGAACGCTTTTACCCGTTCTTGTAAACGCACATCTGAGAACTCACTCTTTAGTGTTAAAGACAATGGCAGACACATTTACATGTACACCAACAGTTGTGAATATAGCTTTTCCAAGATTGTCCTTCTAAAAGATATTTGTTCAGCTCAAAATTGCTGATTCATAAACGTAATTTTATATTTATTAATGAATTAAATTACCAACATTTTTGAAAAAATAGTCCCACATATCTGAGAGGATTAAAGCAATGGGAGTTGTCCAAATGCAGAACATTTTATAATATATTTCACAATATAATACAAAGTTTTGATATGTGCTATGGTAACAGGAATCACTCCCTTTTTAAAGAAGTGAATTGTGAAGTTACCTAATTATACAGACATTTAAATGGCTTCTGCCTCCTGTTTTATATCCAGGTTCATTTGTCACCTCTCAAATACAACTGACTGTGGGAACAACGTGTCCGTTGTTGTATTGCTGATAATGTTAGTCTGCTACAGAGTTCTGAAGATGTAAGATTCTGGTCTACTGTAAGGGGACCTTAAATAAGGCATGAGACTGGGTCACTGCTGTCTTGAGCTCCCAGCCCTCGGGAGCAGTGTAAGAGACGAGGTGTCAGAAGTGGGGCTGCACACACCTTATACTTATACTGATGGTTAAATGTAGCCTAGTGCTGTGTTGTGAGACATTCTCACACTTTACTGTATTTTTGCAAATACTTTTTTTTAGTTCTTTAAACCTTTTTTTTCCCCAAAAGTTATGCAGTGATTGTTATTCTCCAGATGTGCATAGTAGAATGAGGATGTGAGGTTAAATGCCTCTTATCATTTGTCGGAGCTTGTTTGGTACTAGTGTGTTCATGTCGTCTTTGAGCACGCCATCTGTTTGATGGCACTGTCACTGACCTCAGAGAGGGATGGTGTAGGGTCACTTCTGCAATGTTTGTGCACCTGAGCCTCAGCCAAGTGTGCAGATTGACATTTTCATTCTGCTGTGTTCTGGTCTAGGCCCTGTGGAAACAGCGCTGCTCTTGTCAGATAATGCCTATGAATTAGGCATGAAGGCCATGTGCTCATCCCATCACCACCTCCCCCACAAACTCCCATTCCTTGTCCAAACATCTTAAAACAGAAGTGCACACTTCTCAATTTTAACTGGCAACATTGGATGCTGTCAGTTTATTCTATCACTGTTGATGTTTTTAATGGCAGGTTAAATTCTTCACATATTATGTGGTGTTATCAGTTGTTTTGCTTATTTTCCATGAGCATTTTAACATTATTATTATTATTATTATTATTATTATTTGTTCAGTTCAAATTGATGGATGGATGGATGGATGGATGGATGGATGGAGAGAGGGGCTGATTTTGAAGAAAAAAAAATTTAGTTTTGAGTCTGTAGAATCTTGAGTTTCTTCCTCGTTGCTAACTAACTGGCTTCTCTTTTGGGTTTTCAAACTATGGCTCTAGTCTGTCAAAATGAGGGATGTGGAAAATGTGCCTGTAATGAAATGAATGAATGGAAGCAGACATGGAGTGATGTTTACTCACAGTGTCTGTGAGATAAAAGCATTAGGACCATTACCCTTTGAGCCAAGGGACTCCTGGAGTGGCACTGTATTGTATTTCGCCTGCTTTTATAAGGCTTTACAAATTACAGCTCTGGGAATATAAACAACAAGCTTATACAAGGAGTCTTTGTGCCTATGTCCCTGTCTTTTAAGGGGCAGCATTTTATTATCCTGTTATGCTCAGGTCATCATCAGGTTACACTTCAGGCCAAGCACAAATTAATAACATTGACCCTTAAGGTGAATTTAAGATGCCGAGTACAGCATCCAAACCCATCAGTTGTATTCGTCTTAATGAGTCATGTTTTTTTTTTTGTTTGTTTCAGCTTCTTTTTTCTCTCGTCCTCTCTTCTACAGAAATCTGAATTTCCTCCAAGTACAGTGTGTATAATGGCTTTTGTTCCTTGTGCAGTCTACTGAGAGAATGCTTTAATAATTCACCTTTTGTTCATATCGGATTTGCAGCAATTGTTAGTCTTTGAAATGGTGACATTTATGTGTTCGTTGCAGCTTCAGCACAAGTGTCATGTTTTATTGAAGACAAGTTGCTTGTTTGTTCCTATAAGCACAGACCTGATGAAATTGGTGCTTGCTTCACTTCACAGTCACACATCCATGTGTAAAATAGTTTTCACAGTGCAGAAGTCTCAGCCACCTCAGATGGGATTTAATATTTAGAAGTTGTGAATTTAGTGTCGTCTTTGGTAAAGTGGTGTGGGCATGCATAGTTTTTCTGTTCTTTAAGCAACAAAAGTGTAATGATCCTAATACTGAGCCCTGGGGTGATTCTCAAATTTTGTATTTGTTTTTATATGAATAAAGACACAAATTCCTGCAGTAATCCCTGCAAGGTTTTTTTTTTTTTTTTTTGCTGATCACAAGAAGAACTTTTGCTTGACCCTTCTAACACATTTCCAAGCCAGTGAAGTTTCGCTTGGATTGTAAAGGCATGCCTATTCAAGAGGAAAATGCGTACTGCCGAGACAAGTATTGCTCCCTGTGAGAGAGAGCTTTTAGATCAGTGTTCCTCCCTTGGCAATTACTGACTTTTTTGCACTAACAATAGCAATGTAACAGTGATTTTTATTCTGAAGAGTTTATACTTGCAATTTATGGTTTTTCAGTAACAGGAACTAGAGAGAAGACTGAAGAGAAACGTCCTGTGTCTTGCTGTGAGCTTTCGTTCTCACAGCAAGGATTATAGTGTGCAATGTACATAATTTGTTAAAAAATATAAAAAGAAGGTTCTAACCAGCTAATTGTTTACAATGCAAACAGGAGGTCTGCATTTATTAAACTGAATTACTGGGGCAACCCAGGGTTCAGACATTCCTCTTCAACTGGGTCTTTTTTATTTTAATGGGGGCCACATGAAGGCTGCAGATTTGAATCAAACTTTTGTGTTCACAGAATATGGTTTCATTATGTTTGTTATTAAAGGCATCCCTTTTACCTAACTCGTTCCTATAATTTCTCTACACTAATTACAAATGTGTTGCACCAGAATAGAAATAAATAAAAAAAATGATCATACCCCAGTGAACTTGCATATTATTATGGACTGAATATTATATCCTAATGCAACTACTGAATGTTATATTGTTATATTACATACTAAATTGGATTGTCTTGTTTTGGGTTATGCACTGCAAATATTATTTATTTATTTGATAGGGACATTGCACATTAATGAACAATATTGAAGAACATACGTAAACATGTCGGAATATAGCCACAGGGCTAATTCACATCTGTAGTCCCAGACAGAGAATACAGAGAAAACAAACATACAAAAATAAAAGAAAAAAATCTGTATAAATAATATTTTTTTTTCTTGGTCATTTTTTGTATTAAGATGTTGGATAAACTGAGGGACCGCTGGATGAACACAGGTCTGTGGGAAAAGCTTGAGGAGCGAAAGACTGTGATCACTGAGCCACGTGGTGGTGGCAAGGGTGATTTTGATGCGCTTCTGCAGACCTACTATGAGGCCATCAGAGGAACAGCATCCAACTGTGAAAACAGAGGTTAGTGTTGATTTACTCCAAATGCCTAGTTTAAATGTGTTGTCTGTGTGTTGATGTGATTTCTTTTCCCAGATGGAGCGCTGCTGGTAGCTGTTTGCAGAGGAAGGTGAGCGAGGCTTAGACTTCACCGATGACAATGCCAGAGCAGTGGTCACTATTGGTATCCCATTCCCTAATATCAAGGATTTGCAGGTAACGGTCTGAGAAAAAAAAGCATATCTTTTGTATTTGACATGTCTTTGTAGTTTTCTCAATTTTCCAGGTCATCTTAGTATCATCTGGATAACGCTATGATCTGATGATGAATGGAATCTCATAGATGATCTTTCTGAAAATGGCAGATATAATTAAAGGACAAGTTCGGTATTTTACACTTAAAGCCCTGTTTTAAGATCGTTTCTGATGAAATAGAACGGTTAAGATTGAAATTTGCACACATTGCTGGCCAAGAATTTTCGGTTTCTGTGTTTTCGGTCACCAATGTGCATCGCCATTGTGCATTATCGTTGGGCTGGAGTGTTCTATTATTCAAGCTGTCAACGGAAGGATGTACGGGTATGAGGCGTTGGAAAAGAAGGTCAACAGTTTTTTACAACGAACGGTAAACAACGGTTTACAATAGTGCTACCACAGAAACCGAAAATTCTCGGGCCAGCGCATGTATCCAAATTTTAATATTAACCGTTCTATTTAATCAGAAACGATAAAACAGGGCTTTAAATGTAAAATACGAGCTTGTCTTTAACAGAATTCTGTAAAAACATTACATAAAATTATTCCATCAAATATTTGTGTTAAAATCGCTGTAACACCTGGCCTCAATTATTATTGGTTTAGTAGTAGTTCTAGACAACTGGATACAATTTTTGTGGTCAATATTTGACACATTCCAAGTGGCTTAATCAGCTGTGAACTGATGGAAAATTTCCCCCTTTAGAGGAGTATATTTGCTAGGCTATTGTAGTCTTTTTAAGTCTGATTAAAAACTTTTTCACTTTTATTTGTCCTCTGCTCAACCCTGAAGTATCATTTCTCCTCTCATGTCATATCTTATATAAAGTTACATTTCGTAGGCAGAACAACAGTCCCCCCTTGCTGTGATCCGTAAATGAATTCAGTAGTGATTGTGCTATGGTTTGCCTGTCCTTAGCAGATAGACCTGACCTTTAAGCTTCCCCTCTGTCTACCTTGCTGTCAGAGTATGTTGAAGCTTTCCTAACTGGGTCTGTCACCGTGGGGATATGTACAGATGATTGACACTTCCGAGCCTTCACCTTAGCGGAAGCTGTTGGCGTGGTTGTACCCTTACCTCTGGGAAGGCCTTTGATTTTTTTTTTTTTTTTTTTTTTTTTTTTTTCACTTTTGCTCCAGTAGAGGTCGATTCGAGTTTGCCATTTTGGATGAGTTTTGGAGGGTTCTGAGGGAGGTTTTATCATGTGGCTTGTTGTGGACAAGCGCTGAGTCGATGTGCCAGAGGGGTTGAGGAGCAAAGAAGCGGGGGGTTTCTAGTGCACCTGGCCAACCGTAATGCTTCTTCTGGTTTTAAATGCCACATGAAGTGGTTGACAGCACTCAAACGTGTTTGTTGCTGCCCTCGATTTCTTCTCTATACCTCCCCTTTGACAGGAGTAATGCTTTGTCTCATTTTCCTAGTGCAAGCTTAAAGAAGATGAAGTGTGAAAGAGTTTTAGTGTACTCTTTCTTACCTTAAAAAGATTCAAAGTTGTTTCTGGAGCTAATGCTATTTAGTAAATGAGAACTATTTTTGGACTATTATATTTAACATTTATATTTGAAACTATTAAATTTACAAAATGTCCTTTTTCAGCACATCTTTTTAAGTTTTGCTACTTTTTCATGGTTCCCATGGGATGATTTTATGTAATTGAAAGGTCTATTGTTAATATACACTTAAGTTTTATTCTCTCTCCAGGTTGCTGAGTTGACACTAGGTTGAACTCCACCCCGTTCGGCCATTTTTGTAGTTTGATTAGATATATATCTTATATAGCGTCACAGGACATTTTTATTCTTTTGCTAAATGACCATTGTCATGATGAAACTCAAGCACAATAAAACTGCAGACGTGTAAAGCCTAGTTCACACTACATGATTTTAAAATGTCGGGCTGAACTGTGCAGTTTACACTACATGACTTGCTCTCAGTGAAATCATGAGTGTT